TCTTGGCATCAAAGATGGCCATAAATGTCTTATATATATGAGTGAATATTTTGGCTGAATGTAGTATGTTAAAAATAGATACAGCAGCATGGAGATGCATGATCATGTTCCCACACCTCAGCTTTATTTACTGTGGACTGCTCACCCTCCTAACGTGCAGGTGTTGTTTCTTATATCTACAAGATGTTTAATACATAGCTCAATGTAGTGTCAAGTTATTATGAGGTTTCCTCTTCCTTTAACATAACACAGTTTACACTTGATCTTGGTTTAAGAGCTCACTTTTGTATGAGCATTTGTCAAACCTGAAAACAAGATCTTTGAAAACCCAGAAAGGCCCAATGTGAAAGCATGTATCTAGACAACATGGTGGGAAAACATCTTTTCTGGACCACCCCTTTCCTTCATCTGATCAGAGCGTTTGAGACAGACATGGTTGCTTTGAGTTTATGGAATTCTAGTATAAATTGAACACTATGATAAAAAAAACGTCTTATCGTTTGATTGACACTTTAATATCCATATTCTTTTTAAAGTCCCCTAGTCAATCATTTTATCCCTAAAAAACTAATCTTTGATCACCAAAATGACATATTTAAGCATTTTTCCTGAAAAAAAAACTTGTAATGTAACTCTATACAGTTAGCATATGTGGTTCTATGAATATGCAAATTAGCCCCACCTCCACTCACTCATGCCAGCTCAGAGGATCACATGTTACACATTGACGTGATTGCTAACAATGTAGTTTGTGATGTCACAGGAACACCAGCGATTTCTGAGACTTTCTTTGGTTCACTGCCATTTTAACGAGACAATTCTCAGCAATGGTGTTTGACTTATGAATTTGCTCATGGTTTGTCTTAAACCATATTAAAAACACCACATCAAATGAACAATATTAAAACCTTGATTTTCACCACAAGGGGAATTTAACAAAATGACAGAACAGTGCAAGAGAAGACATTTTTTCATTTTCCAAAATTAATTCTATGCAGTAACATCTAAACAAATGTAGAGCATAGCCAGAAAACAATGTGAAAACATGGGCATTTCATAACACACGCCTATGGTGCGGATAAGCCACTATGTATTGACACTCCAACTTATGTTTACATCTAAATTGATCTCAATAAGAACTGGATGTGCTATTTTTTGAGAACAAACCTAATGATTTCCATTCTGGAAAAGATCACTGTGTTAAAGGGTTATTTCGGTATTTTACACTGAAAGCCCTGTTTTAAGATCTTTTCTGATGAAATAGAATGGTTAGGATTGAAATTTGGACAAATGCTGCTGTCCCGAGAATTTTAGGTTTCTGTGTTAGCACGGGAGTCTCCCGCAAATTGATAGCGGCTCCCTGATCCCGCAAATTAGTTCAAATCTCAAGGAATCTAGAGCGAGCAAGCAAGAGCGTGCAAATACTGTGTTTCAAACCGGAGAGAAGCCTTGCGCATGCGTAGTAAAAGTATAACCTGTGGGGGAAAAGGAGTTTTAAACCTTATTTTGGGGCAAAGTCATCAAACTTTTTCAGCGATTTTTATCATATTTTACTGCTGTATCTATATATGCACGTTTTATGTCCCAGTGTCCAGAGGCCTTGCCACGATGGCGGCATGCCTAAAAGGACTTTGAGTCAAGTCAATGGAGTTGGACAAAAACTACAAATGCCAGCAGCATTTGTCCAAACTGTTCTATTTCATCAGAAATGATCTTAAAACAGGGCTTTAAGTGTAAAATACCGAACTAACACTTTAAGTCTGGTCTTTTCAATGACTACAAACAAAAACAAATGATGAGTGACTGTTTGAATCAAATCATCGCTTCAGCGCAGCTCTCAGATTCGACCCCTGAGGGCAGACGGTGGTTTAGCTAGTCTCGAGGCAGTGGTGTTTTAGTTTCATTCACACACCGATGACTGCTAAGTGATTTTCCTAGACATGCTGTTCCCTGCCAGAGAAGAAACTAAAGCCTTGGGGTGGAGTTCACAGCTGTGAAGCTGTGAGAGTCTGTGTCTAAACACATGGGCCGAAAGCACACTGATGAACTCCATGATGTGTAGCCTCTTTTGCTTCTAACCCTGTACGTATCAACAGGGCTTCCACGAGGCCGCGGAGAGGTATCGCGAGGGGAAACTTGGAATGAGGCAATAAGAAAATAAATGTTTCGCCTGAAAAAAGTGGCCTTCTCCAAAGCAGTTCTCTACTCTCAGTCTATCCCTTACAAATGAGAAGTGATTGTTTGTTTGACTGTGTGATCATTAACCGTGGTCTAATTACCTGAGGCAGTGGTGACTGTTGATGTTGTAGATTAGCTTTTGGATTCGAGTGATCTAAAAGACCTCAAATAACATGGGGAGAACACATTTCTTGATGGCTGATGGAAGTTCCCTTGTCAATAGTGAGACTACTACAGACATTGTTTCTGTTAATTGATGGCAGAAGCATGTGTGGTGTGCATAAATGAACATCTGTCTCAGGAGTGTGCATCAGTAAAACCAGAGCAGGTGCAGTGAGGTCATAGTAAAGGATGTTTATTAGTGTGTTCATACTGAATTTGGATTGGCCTGATGATGTTACCTGACTTATGTCTTAATGGCAGAATTGACAATATTGCTTTAATATACTAAAGCTGTCGTATGTGTGGAATCATACTTGCCCCCTCAATGCCTTATGTATACCTGAGGTTATTTGCAGCAGTAAATTTCAGAATATGCATGTATATATGTATGTGTATGTGTATATACTTTCAGAGTGGTGTACCAGTCTTGACATATGGAGTAGATCTGACATTGTTTTCCCAGAGAGAGCCCAGACTGTCTCATAATATCCAGCAGCTCTCACAAAGTTGTATATCGTCTGAATTTCTCACAATAGTAGCTCGTGAAAGCCATCACTTCCAAGAAAGGTTGGAAGCCACTTGCGTTCGTGGGGAGGAGGGGGCTGCTTCTGCGTCACGTTGCTTTAATTTGTCCTCAGGCTGCCAAAGAAAATGATTAAACTGCTGAGGGGGTTTTGCTCTTGGCTCGCCAACTGCTGTGGCACACTATATTGGCTTGACTCCGACGCTGAACAAGTGCAATCTGTATAATTTAATGAATTATTATAAATACGACAAAGAAAATAAAGTTGAGAGCAATTAGCCCTAAAGTATAAAAACCACTGGACTTCTTCCAGCCAATCTTGAATGTCCTAATTACCTGGCCATTTAAGAAAGTGTAAGACTATTGTTGTATCGTAACTACATACTTTATGGTGCAGCCCAACTGACAGACCTTATTAACAGTTTTCTACAGAAACAAAGTCAGCTTTAATAATATACATAAGCTTTTAAAGATATTAAAAGAAGAATAACAAGAATATATCTATGGATATGCAGTGCATATGGATGCTAAACATAATAAGGTAGAAGAGACCCAGGGACTGTAACATGACTTGAGTTGTATTACACGACAGTGCTCAAATCTGTTTGGTCGATCAGCACTCCAAGAGTGAGACTTTCACTATTTGTATCACCTTACTTGTGTGTTTATTCCAGACAGACATTGTTTATGAACTGTCGATTTGTGAACACTTTTAGACACACACTTGTGAACGTCCCTAAGCACTTCCCCTCTGGGGAATCCCCACCGCCATTTTGAAGTGTTCAACTTCGTCAAGTGGACAAGGGAAGTTTATTTTGGAGAGAAGCTCGACCCCTCCATTTTGACAGAGTGAGCGTGTCAACTCAACATGTACACTTTAGGCAGAACCATAGAACCCAACACACCACAACTTTGACGTCACAGCAGATCACACTTAATTTACTCCCACCCCACACACAACTCCAGTGTGTAATATTGGAGTTGTTTTGATAATATATCAGATCCAAAATTGCAGATTCCAAGTGATCAATGGGTTAGAGGCCGTTCACACAGAAAGTGTTTTTCCATTCCAATTCCACGAGTGCCGCGTTTTTCAGAAGCCGTGTCAAGTTAAAAGAATTTCAACTTATACATGCAGTGCCATTGTGCCAATCATCAATGTCAGTTCCAAAACAGTGAACAAATCAGAAGACCCCAGAGGCAGGGCAATCGTTGAAAGCTTTGCTCACAGTAGCAAGTTAGCATGGCAACAGATCTCTTTCCTGTCATTCTCTGAGCAACAACAGTTTTTATCAAGGTCCAGCAAAATAAAAAAAAAATTCCACATAAAAAATATTAGCTCTCTATTCTGCTGTTTGGCTATTTCCATTATTGCATCACGTCCCAAAAGTGCATCTCGAGATTTTCGAGTTCTGTGTGAACGGCCCCATAGGATGTTAAATTAAACACATTGCAACGGTTCTGCCAGTAGTGGACACTCATGCAACGTAAGCAATGACTTAAGATGAGGGACACGAGATGGAGGGAAGGGAAGTAAGCCAGGGCATAAAAAATACTTACAGTAAATGCATATACAAATTAGTCACTGAATAATTAACTCATGTGATTTGTTCAAAAAAGCTGAATAATGCAATAACTATAAATTCCAATAAATTCCTGACCACCTTTTGGAACACAAGGAAAATAATTTTTCCTTATTATTCGTAGGGTGTTAACAACAGCAGCAATCTTTGTTCTTGACAATAATTTACATTTTAGGGATACACTGTAGATTTAAATGCCTGTAATTTGAAGTAAATGAATATGGGGCTATCCAGCACTTTATAGATTTTTAAACTAAATTAGATACAACACTCCCTGGTTTAATAGCCCACTCATATATTTGCAAATTTCGAGCCTTTTTTTTGGCCATTGCAATGGACTAAGCTGCATTTTGGGGTCACGGGAATATTCACTTGCTTATCTTGTGTTTTCTTTTCTACTCACGCCAGCTGTGCAAACTAAAAGCAGATGTTTAGATTAAGCCTGCTTGGATCTGCCAGGAAATGGATAAAAGAAACGCAGTATTACGTCTTAAATGATGTCACGCTTCAGGTGACGGATGAGGCGGAACCCCGCGCACCTTCACAGCCGGAATACTTCCTGAACCGGTACCTCAGCCGTATAAAAACCCGCAGCGCCTCTGAGCAGGGAGAGGGAGAGAGCAAGCGCTGCACAAAGACGTAAAACAAAGCTACCACTGGACAGATTCAGTCAAATAAGCGACGTATTTATATCCAAAGGCTGCTCTAGAATTGCTGAGAAGGTAGGGACTTTTGTGTTTACAAGCTTTTATTTAATTTGATTATGTGTTAGATTGTTGTGTAGCGTGTAGACAAATGTCTGCATACTCATTGTTGAACGAATAGCTAGCTCATTTGAAAGCATTTTATTTCTATTTGGCTGTATGCAATTTATATCAGCTTTATATATTCCGAGTTAATATATTTTTTCTGATATTAAAATTAGTACTACTATGAGAAAAAAAGATTAAATAGGGCTATATAATACATTGGTACTAATATTTACTTAAACCAATATTAATTAAAGTCTGAATTCTGAAAAATAAATTTGAATAGAAAGGAAAAGAAAATATTGTGTTAAGTTGTTGAAGAAAATAGTTAATAGCCTATTAGTTGAAGAAAATATGTTATATTGAGCATGTTTTTTTTTCAGTATTGTCTATGCTTTAGGTTAATTGACATAATAGGTTTTTAATGCATTCTCTAATAAATGGGAATCATTTGTTTCACAGGCAGATTCTGCAAAAGGAATAGAAACCTCTCACCACATCTCAACCATCAATCATGAATGAAATACGTTTAGCTATTGACATTCTACTCTTGTGTATATCCTGTGGAGCAAGTGCACTGGCAGCCTTCAATCCCACTGCATCTTCATCTCTGCCAGCAACCAATTTAACTGATATTAAATATCTCACTGAGGCCGCAAACCTTCCCAAAACCAGACGGAAACGTTATATTTCCCAGAATGATATGATCACTATTCTTGATTACCATAATAAAGTCAGAGGGAAAGTTTTCCCCCCAGCTTCAAACATGGAATATATGGTAAGTCACTTATAATAATGACCAATTTTAAAATAAGTAGCCTGTAATACAGTCAGGAACAGTTATGCTTATTTGAACTTTTGCTCTGCACCCTCACAGCAGTTCATTGGGTTCAGTTGTTTTATTTATTTAATTGTATAATTACCTGGCATTTTGCCTGGAAAGCCCATTGCTGCTGTTGTAGCTGGCCATGTGAACGTTGCACATGTTACTGCGCTCATCACAGGATGCAGGAATGACAAACTTCTCTGTGTACTTTTGGCACCAGCAGCTGTTGAGCAGATTTAATTGGCTCAGACCACCAAAGTAGATCCTCTCCAGTGTTATCAATGTGTTAAGACTACAGCCAAGCACTGAAGTACTTCCAAAAGTGCACAGTCATGAGAAATGCTGTATTAAATGTTTCAATGGATTGAAATGTTTTGTTTGAACTCCCTTTCTGATCTTACTATGATTTAAGGGGTAACGATTATTAAGCCACATTTTCCAGCATAAAATGTACATCCATGGTTTATGACTTAGATCACTCAGGAATCAATCAAATGTGTTAATGTTTGGGTGTTTGCAATTTTGCTTTTAATCTCCATTTTATGGTCAAAATGTGTACATCTTAAAAAACATTAAATATGCAATGAATAAATGTATTTATTTTTGAATACTGATGAAAGTGTATTTCATGTCTCAGGTCTGGGATGACACTCTTGCAAAAACGGCTGAGCAGTGGGCGTCTACATGCATTTGGGAGCACGGTCCTCGCAATCTTCTTAGATTTCTGGGTCAGAACCTTTCGGTTCGAACAGGAAGGTATGCATCTCCACCCTCAGTCCCAGTTTGTGATCAGTGATGTTTACTGTACCAATGGACATTTAGACTTGATCGACCAAGCTAAGCATTTCATCACAACATAATGAGATTTAGTGATAAGTTTGGATTGTTTACAGGTACAGATCCATTTTGCAGCTGGTGAAGCCCTGGCATGATGAAGTGAAGGACTATTCTTTTCCCTATCCTCGAGACTGCAATCCCAGATGTCCTCTTAAGTGCTATGGGCCAATGTGCACTCATTATACACAAGTGAGTTGATTTAAGATGGTCTTTGTGTAATGCATTTCTTCAGGTATACTACCGTTCACAGTTTGGGGTCAGTAAAATGTATTTATTCTGAAAGAAATTAATACTTCTGTTTTGCAAGGATACATTAGATTGATCAAAAGTGACAGTGACAGTGAAGACAACTTCCTCAAATATTAAGCAGCAGAACTGTTTTAAACATTGATAATAACCAAATCAGCAGAATAAAATGATTTCTGTAGGACATTAAAGACTGGAGTAATGGCTGCTGAAAATTCAAAATATTTAAAAAAGTATTTAAAAAAAAGAATATGGTTATAATATTTCATTATAATGCTGTTTTTACTGTATTTTTGATCAAATAAATGCAGCCTTGTTACAAACATCTTACTGACCACAAACTTTTGAACATCAGTGTTTATCATTTTCATTTGACCATTGCTCACTTGCTGCCTCCGTTTTACCAGATGGTGTGGGCAACCTCGAATAAAGTAGGATGTGCCATCCACACTTGCCATAATATGAATGTTTGGGGTTCAGTATGGAAGAGGGCAACATACTTGGTGTGCAACTATTCCCCAAAGTAAGTATATGTTTTCTGTTCTGTAGCTTAACTGCCGACTCCAGAACACTTCTCACTAACATAATTAGGCTAAGCTTGCAATTTGGCACTCTTCTGTTAAAAAGTTTTTTTAACATGGACATCCACAAGGCTTTCTGGTTCAAAGACTTCAACGACCTCTCGCATTCCTGCTGCATGTGGAATTTTAGCAGAATTCTGCCTCTAATTCCAGAATCAAAGCACCATGATCTTTTGTAGCTGGCAACTTATGACTGACATGTGACCTCCTTCTTTCAGTCTAATTGGGCAGCGCACTTGAAAAAATTCTTGGGCTACTGCAGAGCAAGTTATTTTTAAACTCTTGTAAAGACCCGACTTGCTATCTGAGAACTAGTTAAAGTAGATCCAGATTGATTTAAAGCATGTCTTCTCATGGAATCAAAATAGAAGCGCAGTTAAAATGGGAATAAAAAAAAATGTATACAATGCTAATTTCAAACAGTTTAGTTTAATATATATCATTGGTCTGTCATTAACAATGTTGATACTATTGTTTTTTTACAGGGGTAACTGGATTGGTGAGGCCCCATATAAAGTAGGTGTTCCTTGTTCCACGTGCCCTCCGAGCTATGGAGGATCATGCAGTAACAACATGTGCTTTCCTGCTGTGAACTCAAATTACCTGCACTGGTTCAAATGAACACACAGACAGAATGCACATGCCCCATTACAGAGACACTGTCCCTCATGGGAATTTGCACAACATTCCTGCGTCACCCTGTTTTTTATATTATGGGCCATATAGGACCATGGGTTGCGAGGCAGCAAGTTTTTAAAGACATGTACATAACTTATTTTTCAGTATTTATACCATTATATTATATTGTTTTGTGTATGCACCCATTTATAGGAAATTTATTTATAGTTTGTTTCCTGAGAGGGACTCTACTGTGATCTGTCAAGTCAGGATTAGTGCTTACAGTATTCAACCGTAACTGTATTCAGAGATCACGAGGTGCAGTTGCCAAAATTCCCATCAGGCCTGGTTAGCCAGTCTAACATTGCACGTTGTCTGTAGTCCCAGATTGGTCCTAACGAAATAATTCACCCAAAAATGAACATTCTGTCATAATTTAATCGCCCTTGTGTCGTTTTTAAACTCTTTTTCATCTGTGGAAGACAAAAGAATACCTTTTGAAATAATGTTTTTGTCTATTATGAAAGTCTTGGACCCCATTGACTTTTCTTGTATGGACAGAAACTGCTGAAATATTCTTCTAAATATCATCCCACAGATAATGTTCTGTTATTATTTACTTCTGACTTCTAAAAGAAAGGAAAAGAATTTTTGTAATGCTGAAGCTGTTTGGTTACTGACATTCTTCAAAGTATCTTCTACGTTCAAACGAAGAAACTAAGTTTGTAACAACTTGGGGATGAGTAAATAATGACAGAATTGTAATTTTAGGGTGAACTATCCCTTTAAGTCATATGATGTCATGTCTATTAACCCTGGTGGTTGACTTTTGGTGCTTCAGAAGAAATGTCAAGTTCGGTTTTCTTGAACTGGACTCAGACACAATAGAACTTCACTGGTTTGAATACACTCACTGGCATCCTTAGTAATGCTTTGCTTTGGGTCTTCCCTCTTGGAAGGTTTCCACATGCTTACAGCTTACAAGCGTGTGCTTGAGGCTTAGACGTTGTGGATTAGGCATCATTTGGAAAAACCTCTGCATTTTGCAATCCAAGAGCATTTAGTGAGATGGCTAATCATGCTGTACCCACATGAAATGTTGAGGCGGATTAACATGGAAACATGTTTTCGTAAGTGCACCTTATAATGTTTTTTAAAAATGTATTTGTATTGAGAAGACTGTCATTATTTGTGATTTTTACCAATTGTGCATACATGTATTATGAATTCAGAAGTACAGTCTCTACAATGCATTCATAACAGTGGCACGTTATTGCATTGTATTGCACTGTTGATTTCACTTGTTTTTTTTTTTTTTAACTGCATCACACAAGCACTTGGGTAAATCTATCAGGCACTGCTCTGAATATGGAGGGGATATAAAGGGCTATTTATTCCTTCCCCTCCTTAGATTCAACATGACATTGTTTATAGAAATGGTATTTTCTACTAAATCCACTTCTGTAAAATATCATTTTTAATGATGTCATAGCATATTTCATTGTATTAATGTGTCGTTGTAGACCTCTGAAAAATAGTTGGTGCTGGATTAAATTACATGATTATGTAAATTTGTGTATTTGCACCTAATGTGGCAGTAAGAATTTATTTATCATCTGAAATAAGCTGTACATAACTTTTTTTTTATAAAAATCTCTTTTTTAATATAAATGTTGTTATTTTGTGCCTCATTACAAAGCAAAACCGTTCAAAGGTTTGGGGTCAATACGATTTTATCAAAACTAATAAAAAATGTTTGGACACATTAAATTGATTAAAAGTGGCATTAAAAAACATTTCATGCCTTCATATTTCATTTATTTAAAATAAATGCTGTTCTTTTGAGCTTTCTTTTCATCAAACAATCCTGGAAAAAGCATACATTTTCCCACAAAAATATTAAACTGTTAAATAAAACTCCCATTAGCAACAGATTTGATAGTGAGAGATTTGGATCAAGATTAGATGTTGAAAAATACATCACCAGTGCTGGATGAGGGTTGAAATGATTTTGGACATTGGCCCACAAGCATAACCAAATACATTCAAACCAGAAAATGTATCATTGTTTAAAGTATGCGTTTCATAGAACTATAAACAATGCAACCATCCTTTTATTTAAACAATTAAAACTATTACTCCTTGCTGATTTATTTTGTTTTGTTAAATAAAGCTGAAAGTTTTGTCTTTCTTCAATTGTGTTAACCTTGTTCACTGTTTTTCTCTGTCATACCATCTCTTTATTATTTTTTGACACAGAAACAGACAGAGCTGATGATTATGGGATCTTTTGAAGAACTCTTTCTCATCACTGTTCCATTTACAATTTCACTAAGCATTGTAACTGTAAGACACCTTCCTTGATATGAAAACTGCAACTTAATAAGAAAACCTTGACTTTGGCCTAGGCTAGCTGATACCCGTCTTCTACACAAACAATCCGTTTATGATCTTACTAAGAGAGGCCCTCAGTTCTGTAAAGGAGCGAATGAAACCGATGAACTCAGTGAAAGCTACAAGCTCCACCTCATGCACTCATTTGGGAACGGGTGGGGCGAGTAGGCAGGCAGACTCTCACCGCTACCAAATTCAGCAGATTTGGAAGAAGTATGCAGATATCACAGGGAAATATGATGCCATAAATGTTTTGATCTATTGGACAGACACAGCTGTTCCTGTACAGACTTCCAGCTGTGAGAAGAGGTGGAATCCTGCCAATGCCGCACAAAGAATAACAGGCCATCATACTTAAAAAAGAACATATGGTATGCAGTAGCTGTGAAAAAAAAAATATGTTAAAACATTATAAAGGTATTGTTTCACAGGAAGGATGAAGTGGGTGTACAGTAATTCTGAATGGACAGGCTACGTCAGCTTACAAAAATTGACTCTATTTGCTACCTTTATTACTGGTTTTATTGCACACGATTCATCTGTCCATATTATTAATCTTCATAATCTTTAATCAAAATGTACTGTAATAACTTGCACTTCCTCTCACCAACTTTCCTTTCCCACTAACGTCAATCTGACAACATGGACGGAGAAATGACCCAAATATCATTCACTTCTCCAACTACCTGTCTGCAGTGACGACCAAATCAAACTAGTGACGATATCGATCCCATAACGCTTTTCATTGGTAAGTGGCACAGTAATGATGTTGGCGACACGGCAAACAAGAATTGTGGTTGAAAACAATGCAGTGGTATTTGCGTAGTGGTAGGTGCATTATGCAACATTTCATGTTAAAAATAGCCGTTTTTCTAATCCATACATGCTTATCAGAGAAGGGCTCATTCAGCCCATCAGGCAATTGTTTAAGGCTTAAAGGATTAGTTCACTTTTGAAAAAACTTTTGCTGATAATTTACTCACCCCCATGTCATCCAAGATGTCCATGTCTTTCTTTCCTCAGTCGAAAAGAAATTAAGGCTTTTGATGAAAACATTCCAGGATTTTTCTCCATATAATGGACTTACATGGGAACCAGACGGTCCAAGGTCCAAAAGACAGTTAATAACAGTTTCAGATGCAGCTTCAAATGTCTTTAAACGACACCAGACAATGAATAAGGGTCTTATCATGCGATCGGTTATTTCAAAACTTATTCCAAAAATGTAACTTTTCTAAGGACAAATGCTAGCCTTGCTCTATTCTGTGAGGCGCGTTTGTAACGTCACATAATACGTAATTACGTTCAAAAGGTCACGGGCGACATAGCTGGAAGTAGGAAGGAGAAAAATCCTGGAATGTTTTCATCAAAAACCTTAATTTCTTTTCGACTGAGGAAAGAAAGACATGGACATCTTGGATGACATGGGGGTGAGTAAATTATCAGCAAAAGTTTTTTCAAAAGTGAACTAATCCTTTAAACAATCGCCTGATAGGCTGAATGAGCCCTTCTCTGATCACTGCGATTGCCTCTATAATCCTGTACAGTAAAATAAATAAGAGGGTTTCAGGCTGGAATTTGAGACTGGGCGTGACGTCATGCGCGGCTATATCTGGCAGGTTTGTGTATTCGCCGCCGCAAAGTAGAAGATGGATTCAAAGAGACCGTGGCTTGTAGCTCATTCCAAAACCCAACGCAAACTCCACGTCAGACAAAGAAAATGAAACTTTTGTCTAGTGCCAGGCGTCGGAATAAGACGCGAGTCAACATCAGGAAGCTTTCAACAAATGGAGAGATCTCCGGTCTGCTCTAGGGCTCAAACGAATCCTATACAAAGTAATAACTTATATCGTTCATTAACGTGTTTCCATAATGATACAATCATAAGTGGATACAGTAAGCACATAAAACAGTTCAACATGGAGACAGATGGAAACAAAAACCGAAGTTTTCTACCACCCCTGTTTCCCCCTCACACACATAAGTGTGTAATTTACTCAAATGCCTTTCCTTTCATATATTTTAAATGACTTGCAGATTTTTAATTTTATTACCTCATTATGACTGTAACAAAAGATGTGTGCGGCTGATGCTCCTTTGGTTATGAACAGCTCACGCAAATGGGAGAGTGTGTGTGATCCTTTTTACATTCTACGGGATGATCCATGAGCGCGCACACCTCTGGTTGCAGTTTTGCTTGTCGCCAGAGGGGGCTTAGTTCTGCAAAAACTCAGAGACTTGGGCTGCCGTGTCTACAGTGCCAATGTTCAGCAATTTTAACATAAGATCATCATCATATCAGTGTAGATGGATCAAAATAATACCATTAAAATATCAAGTAAATAAGTATTGTGATACTTGGTGCCACAGTGACGCTCTTGTCCCAAAAAGTATTGCTATACCACAATACTCAATATGTTGTCCCACGTTGAGTCATTTTTCCCTGCTGGACGTACACAAAATTTGAGGGTTCCCCCACCTGCCAAATCCCACTTTAACCACTGCGTACACACACACACACACACACACACACACACACACACACACACACACACACACACACACACACACACACACACACACACACACACGTATACTCCTCCATCATTGAGAAAAAACAATCAACCGAGCAGGTGGGGGGACTCCTTCTGCTATCACCTACCAGGTAAGCAGTCCTCGTATATAGTCAACGAGTAGGGCACCTGGAACTCTTTCCTATATTGAGTGACTCCCGGATGAAGGCTTGTATGCCGAAACGGGTCGGAGTGTTTTTAGAGTTGATTATGACCAAGCCATAGCAATAAAGGCTTTTTAACTTTTCTAAAGAGAGTGCCTTGTTTTTCCTATCCAAAGAGTTCCTCAAACTTATTTACTTGAGTCCAGGAAGTGCTTCTCTACAGACATTTGTTTATATCTTGCCTATATTTTCTGGAAAATGCACTCCAGTTCACATCATGACTTGGGATGAGACTGTGTTAACCTAAATTAGATCATTTTAAAGAAAGGCATTAACATAAAAAATATTTAAAATATATTTATTTAAAAATATTATAGGAAGATTATATTTTTCACTCACGATATGCTTGAGTGTTATTGGCTTTGTCTGCCTGGAAGTTTCTAGAATATCTAGTAAGACCTTGATTGGCTGGTTCAAGTGTGTTTAACTGGGGTTGGAGCTAAACTCTACAGGACAGAGGCCCTCCAGCCGCATGATTGGACAGTATGCCATATACTGTATAGCAGCATAAGTAAAGAGTATGCAATATATAAAACAAGCCCTGCTTTCAAGGAGTTTTGTTGAATTTGTAGTACTGTTGAATGTAGTTACGTGTTCAACTAAATATAGGTATACTTTTTGATTGATTGATTGATTGAAAATTTATTAATCCCGGTAGGGAAACTGGTTTGCCACCAACCGTACAACCTTAAACGCAGTACACAACTAACAGACAAATAAATAAATAAATATGCATTAAAAGAATGACCAAAACCTGATTAGACACAACTACAAGAAATATTCAATTTCACAGTGCAAAAATAATCAAACACTAACTCTATTAAAGGCCTGGATGTCACTCAATAATTAACAATGTTCATTAAAATATCTGACTGCTGCTGGGACAAAAGATCTTCTCATCCGCTCACTAGAACACCGAGGCAGAACCAATCGCTCACTGAAAGAGCTTCTGAGTCCCCTAAACAAATTGTGTAGTGGATGGCCTTCAAAAAGCAGGACAGTTTTCAATTTTGAATGCATCCTCTTCTCCACAGTAACCTCCGATGCATCTGGGTTAAGACCAATAACTGAACCAGCTCTCTTGATCAGTTTATTTATCCTATTTTTGTCCTCAACAGATATACTGCCCCCCCAGCAAAGTACAGCATAAAAAAGAACACTAGCTAAAATCCCTTGATAAAAAACATTTAAGAGTTTTGTGCTGATATTAAATGATCTTAGTTTTCTCAAAAAGAACAGTCTCGACTGAGCCTTCTTCATCACAACACTAGTGTTCTCTTTCCAGTTTAGTTTTTCATCCAAATGAACGCCCAAAAACTTATATGACTGCACAATCTCGATCTCTTCACCATCAATTCTAACTGGGAGGACCTTCTCTTTTTTCTTTCTGAAGTCAATCACAAGTTCTTTAGTCTTCCCAATGTTCAGTTTCAGAAAGTTTGAATCACACCAGTTATAA